GATGCAGTAGATCACGAAAATTAGAATCACGATGCATCATCATCACGATTATTTTGCACACCCCTATTTATAAATAGATCAGTTGCATTTCCTGCACTTGTATTTATTTCTGATAGAGGAGCTGGAGCTTTTATCGTCCAATTTATCTTGATATTGATTTGAGGTCATATCGCCCGGCCCTAGTTGAGGGCCCCTTGGTGCCTGCAAGCATCGAGTTGGTGACCCCTAATCTAAACCAATGTGGGGACTATTGACAACACTTTCAGCCAATCAGAGCCAGTGAAAGCAGATTATCTTGGTCAGTTACCTAGATGATTGGCTTGTGGAGGATTCCTCTTGGTCCTAAAGACCTGTATTTACACCCAAAGATTTTTTTGTTCTGTGCTGTGATGGAGCACAGATATAGTTTTCAGGGAAAAACAGCAAATATATATTTTTAGAATTAGTTTCTGGCTGAGTGGTTTCATCTGTCGCTTTTTTTTTTTTGCTTGTACCTCTACACCGACCCTGCTTTCATTTGATATGTATTGCTGGTTGATGCATGATTGTGGCTGTGGAAACATAAATGTTGATAGGTTGCTGTTCTGCCGTACATTTACCTTTTCCATCTTTTATTTTATTTGGATATAACTTGGTTGTGTTTTGCACATTTTAAAAAGGTTTGTGTTGGCTTGCAACCTGCTGTAGATTTTGCAGTCTAATTTAATTTGATTGCTGCATTATCTCCCATTAATGCATCCTTTATCACTATTGTTGAGTAACAATAACGAACACATCTACAAACAGCAGTCATGTATATACACTTGAAATAAGAGAATAGATTAAAACTTTTAATTACCTTAGGAAAAGAGTTATTTAACAAAAATGATTTTTAAGAAATGTAAAAACTAACCTACTTCTGGTCTGGTATGTATAGTGAAAAGGTTTTTCACGATTTTATCTTTATTTTTTCACATCACATTTGTCTTTTTCTTATCATTTCAACCTTTTGTTTAATACTTTACTAATACTTATACTTTATACATAATATTTTTTAATTTTCATTTTAAATTTATGGTCTCAAATAATTTTTGCAGTGCTTGCTGCATCTAAAGATATTTTAATGTGCTTTTATAAATTAATAAATGATTAAAGTAGAATTGAGGATTTATCCCTTTCTGTTCTAAAGGTTTCTGGACAATCGCCTGTTTGCCACCTGCTCTGACGACACCACCATTGCGTTATGGGACCTTCGCAAGCTGAACTCGAAGGTGTGCTCCTTGCACGGGCATGCCAGCTGGGTGAAGAACATCGAGTACGACACCAACACTCGTCTCTTGGTCACCTCTGGCTTCGATGGCAACGTCATCACGTGGGACACCAACAGGTTGGTCGCGATTACATCTTGCAATTGTTTGGATTTATGTCCAATTTGGTTCGCATTATAAAGATAAACTTTTAGCCCATTTTTCCACCTTCATTTTGGGATTTAAAGTAATTGTAAAAATATAAAGATGAAGAACTTTTTCTCATCTTTTTTCATTTATATATTATTTAAACAAACAAAAAAAATCTGAAAAGTCTGGCATTCCTTTGAGTTTAACACCCCTGAGTCAAAGAATTTGATGATGAAGTTTATTTAATTTCATTTAGTCAAGTCATGCAATCAGAATTTAACATATCTTTAGAGCAAGCTGTTTTTTTAGGTAACCAGCCTATCTTTAAGGCAGTGATTCCCACTGTTCATGCTTTGCTTTAAACCAAAGCGACAGGTCACCTGCAGTACACAGTATTGGAATAAAACACATTCTCCTTAAAATAAAAAAAACTTCTACGTGTAACAATTTTAAGATTAGACATTAGTTTTACCCTGTAACAAAAGTCAGCAATGTCATCTGTGTATTTTTATCCACTTTATTTCTGTCATTATCATTTTTATCCTGAAATTATACAAAGTCCCCCCTAGAGGGCGCACCCCTATAAAGTTTTGGAACCTCTTCGGTAAACAATACCTAAATACCCCTACAATAAATGTTGGGAAAAAGCCTAACAGTGAAATTAAAATGACATGATTTTATGCTAAATTGAACTATAATTGCATTTAGTTATCTTTGTGATTAGTGTTGGTATTGTTTGGATTTCAACTCTTCTGGGTTTTTTTTTTGCTCTTTTGGTAATCTAAAACCCAAAGTCATTAAGGAATATTTTTTAAGTGGAATCACTATTGTCTCAAAATTTCTGATTTAAAGGAGATCAGACCAAGCAAAAATCCTTTTCAAGCCTCGGGTGGTAGCAGTGTCACTGTTTTGTTAAAGGTAATAATTTTCCTCTCTTGCAGGTTTACTGAGGACGGCTGCCCACACAAGAAGTTCTTCCACACTCGCTATCTGATGAGGATGCGTCTGACACCCGACTGTTCCAAGATGCTCATCTCTACTTCCTCAGGGTACCTACTCATCCTTCACGACCTGGACTTGACCCAGTCCCTGGAGGTGGGCAGTTACCGCATGCTGCGTGCCAGACGGACCCCCCTCAGTTCAGGTCAGAACCAAGGCTATGGAGTCAATTTGAAAAAGTTCTAATTGTAAAAAACAGTTATTTTTTTATTATTTTTTTTATTTCATGTTATATTTTTTAATGGAATTTTTTTCAAACCTTATTTCTGAAATCTTTTTTGCAGAAGAAATCTTTCATTAAAATTTTTCACATTCTCTTCACTTCAAGTCCAAGACGACTACTCTCTCTTGACCAATAAAATATTGTTTCTAACTTATATGCTGACCAATAGAAATGCCTCTTTGCTCCTCACTCCAGAGGCCAGCCTGCTCCCAGAAGTTAAGAGAATTTGATCTGGAAAAAATAATAGGAGAAATCTAAAAATATAAAATCTATTGGTAAAGAAAACAGTAATGCCCCTAACAAACTTTCTTCCTACTTTTTTGCGTAAGGAATTTTTCTAAGTTTTATTTGTGAATTGCATTACTTTTTTAAATTGACAAAATATGTTTTTTGCTTTCAACAATAATGGAACAACATAAAAAAGTGCAACCAAATATCTATATATAGCAGGAAATGATTTTTAAAAGACAATGTGTTTTCATAGATGGAGGAACGTCAGCATCTAGGTCGACTGCAGCGCCACGACAGGGACATGACTCCAAGATTCATCCTCACAGAGAAGGTCTGGGATGATCTCAGTAGGATGCTGATTGTATGGTGCCAAATTAGCCTCTTGACTGATACTAACTTCCTTTCCTCTCAGGTCTCTCCCCAAGGAACAGCCTGGAAGTTTTAACTCCCGAGATCCCAGGAGAGAAGGACCGAGGGAACTGCATCACATCCCTGCAGCTTCATCCGAAGGGCTGGGCCACGCTCATCCGGTGCTCCAGCAACATGGACGACCAGGAGGTGAGGAGCCTATTACTGCAGGTTTTCAAAAGATCCAAAGGAGAAGCTATAGTTGTTGCTTAGTTTTGTGCATTAATGTTAAATCCTTTTTTTTATTACATAATATATACAGTAACTGATCTAATTTATGAAATCACTAATAGACACACATGTATAAATATATGCCTAAGATCTTTAGGTGGGGAGTTTATGATGGAAAAGTGGAGGACATTATGTTAAACATTTCTAACATGATAGAATAAGACATGGTAGCAACACGTGTGATGGACGGGGAAGCATTGTTGTTTTTGACAGCCATCTTAGATTTAGTCTTAATTTAGTCTTAATTATTATTAGTTTAGTCTTAATTATTATTAGTTTTATGTTGCAAAAAAAAAAAGAGTTAACCTTTACAATTTGGAATAACAACCAGATTCTTTACCAGAGTGAAAGCTCTTACTTAGAGACTAAAATTGCTGGGTATAGAATGCTGCCCTGCAGTTCATCACTGCTGTTGGGCAGAAAACTTTGATTTGTAGAATTCAAATAAACGTTATGAATCACAAAAAGCTGTGAAAATAGAAGATCTAGTTCAACACATCATATTAGTTAACAAATCAGACAGACAAGAGAAAAAAAAAGTACAATAAAGGAATGGTTTTAGACATACAAGGTTTTCATCGTAAAGCAAACACTTCCTGATCTATTGTGAATTATGCATCACACACAAATCAATAGAATCTTCATTGCTCAGAAAATAAACAAAGAATGAAAAAATATATTTTTTCTTCTTTGGCAATTTTGGTTTTATTTCTAAGAATTTACCCCTTTGTTACTGCTGCTCAGGGGTCAAAGTAGATTTAAATTCACATGGGTTTTATATAACACAAATTACAGAGAGAACATACATAATTGCCTTGTAATGCCATGACAATGCAGACCTAAATTTGATGAATATGCTAACTAAAATGTTAAAATATTTAAAGGAAACTGTTTTAACCTCTTAACATTACTTTCCTCCCTAAAGCCCTATGTCCATAAAAGCTGGCTGCCGTAACTTTGTTAAAAACAATATTTTTCGGGTCACATCCACAGCACATCTGATTAGTTCTGCTGATTCTTTAAAATTGGGCTCTACTCTTTTGCAGACCGACTCAACGCCATATGTATGCTGTATTAGTCAGTCGGACAAAGACAGGTGGATAGACTTAACATTCAGGATCAAATTACCTGATTTCATCATCTTAATATGATATATTATTACAGATAGGGCTAAAAACTAACAATCATTTTTTGAATTGATTAATCATTTATTATTTTTTATTGAGATGGTAAAAGGTGCTTTAAATTAAACTATAGCAGAATTGAAACCAGATGTAGCTAAAATATTTTTTTTTCTCTTAAATGCAAAGAGTTTACATCATTTTTATTATATATTATATCATTATCATTTTTTTATTTATTTTAGCCTAATTATAGCTCTAGTTGGGTGGCTTAGCTAACATAACATATTTTAGTCTGTGTACTCCAGTTAACGATTAATGATCACGAAATTAGTTCACTATTAACTGAATTGGTTCAGCTGTATTTACACGTATTTTAAATTGATGATAAAAAAATGTGTTTCTGTTGTGGCCCCCACTTTGAAAAACAGTTTCTAAGCCACAGTAGTTCGGATGTTTCATCTTTTTTATTTCACTATCACTGTCAAAATCTAAAAGGAATAGAGGTTGCCTTGTTTTTGTAGGAAGATTATGCCTGAAAAGTGATCAGAAAAAAGCTGCTGTTGCTCGTTGAACAGAAACTCTTTGAAAAGTTGTGAAATGTGTGATGATATCTTTTATTTCCTGCCTAATTTCTCTCTGTCCTTCCTTCTTCCAGTGGACATGTGTGTACGAATTCCAGGAGGGAGCGCCCACTCGGCCGCTGGTGTCTCCCCGCTGTTCCTTACGCCTCACTCACTACATTGAGGAGGCTAATGTTGGGCGGGGCTACATCAAGGAGCTGTGCTTTAGCCCCGACGGACGGCTCATATGCTCCCCCTATGGCTACGGCGTCCGTCTCCTCGCCTTCGACGAGAGCTGCAGTGAGCTGGCCGACTGCTTGCCCGTCCAGACCAGCTGCCTGCGGGAGATCCGCTCCATCTACTCTCACAGCGACGTGGTGCTAACCACCAAGTTCTCCCCGACGCACTGCCAGCTGGCCTCAGGCTGCCTCAGCGGCCGTGTGGCGCTTTACCAGCCCAAGTTTTAGCATCTAGGCTTATTGAAAACCAGAGCGCTGCAGACCTGGGTGAAGACGTACCTAAGAGAAAGTCTGGAAATATATCAAGGAAGCATTTTCCCGATGCTAACACTGACGAATACATTTCTACAAGACATCTGCAGTGGCCCTTTGTATCATTTCAGTCTCACTGCAGATATTTAATGACACTAATATTCTGTTTAGTACAATTCTGCGTACCAGTTATATCAACACAATCCAAAAAGAGAAGATATTTGGACTAGAGATGTACACACCTGCTATAAAAGTCTGAAAAAATGAAGCTAACTAGAGACGCACCGATCAGATTTTAATTGCAGATTTCTGACCTCTACTTTTTTATGTAGAGCTTTCACCTGTAGATACCTGCTTCATTCATTTCCGGTTCTCTTAAAAACTTAAAAAAATACAATAACAGGTTTTAAATTATTCTTCATTCTTTTTTCATTACGTTAGCTGTTATTTATTATTCACATTAGGAGCAGAAAGTGTTGCACCGCATGTTTTTGTAGAACAAGGTTATGCTATTTAAAATCTAAGACAAAATCTTTTCCGTTACACTTTAAACTATCGTTAGCATCTTAGGTAATTAATTAGCATGAATAGCATTTATAAAACAGCCTTCTCCAATTTTGATGAGTTGTCATTTAATATTTCATGACACGTAAGATCAAAATAGATTTTAATGTAATTTAATTTCCCTCCTTGCTTTCCTGTACCCCATATAAACCTCAGAAATTTCTCAACATGGTGTAGAAAATGGTTTCCTTTGTTAGAGCTTCTGGCTTAATGTAAAACGCTTAACTTTGATTCTTCACTCAGTATTAGCCTTTACACCGAAGAGTGTTGTTGTCAGGTAGCATTATGGTACATTCAGTGACTGGAAAAAATGGTTGGATGTTTGAGTTTCCGTGCAGCTGGACGTCTGTCTGAAGCTAAATAGAAAACATGGGGTTCTTTTACCAGACGTGCTCCAGTACATAAATGAAGACCCAGGTCTGCAGCGGTTAAAACGGGCTGAGTTCGTTTAGGTGCTAGCTGTCAAACAGGCAGCCATTGGCTGGGGTAACAGAGGAAAAGACTGATGCTTCTGAGGTTGGACACTTTGAGCCTCATTAGCCCTGAATTTGAAATAATAAGACAAAAGGAAACCTCACAGGGTGGGAAAAAACAACAAGAAACTGTATTTTGGTTCAACTTTCCTCCAGGGTGAGCAGAAGTTTGATGCAACTTGACATCAGGCAAGGACAAAGTATGGGCTGTTTGTTGCTCATTTTGTTACAGCGGATTCATTTTTGGCTCTTTAACAGGAGGAACACCCAGTTTTTTGTTTTTTTTGTTTGTTTTTTTTGAGACTCTGAACATCCAGATGTTGCCATCTCAGGAGGACAACACTAACGATGCAAAATATCAAGTAGAGAATCCTGGAACAAACGAGCTTGTTGTTTTTACTTGACTTCCTGCGCTGCGCCTTGTGCCGCTCTCTGCTGCCTCACTCATGCCTTCGCCACAGGTGCTGCTTCTCTGCTCACACAATCTGAACTTCATGGACCTACCTTCCCTCACCTGCCTGCTGCTTTTCTTTTTTGCTCCCAACCTGATCTCTGACCTCTTTCCATGTCCAGTTCCTCTGCAGTTTTTAGTTCACTTGGTGTGTAAATGTTAGCACTGATTGTTGTCACTTTCTGGCCTTTGAAGCTACTCAGTTTTCCCCACAGGCGATGGTTTTATCTGACATCTCTAAACGAAAACATCCAGCCACTTGAGTATTAATTCAGAGGATGGTACTGGTAACTATTTTTATAGAACATAGGAGCTCCTATTCACTCATCTCCAGAATAATAATTTACATAGTTTTTACCAGAATAATTCAAACTGAAAAAATTTGTGTTGTTCCTGAAACTTTTAGTGCAGTTGGAATCTGATCAGCGTCACCAAGTTATCAGTTTTTATTAGTTTTCAGCCACCTCTGGAGCTTTGTAAAACATTTGTTCAAAGCCTCAAAATGAATTATATCTTTGAGGATTAGATAAAATAACCACCCTATGTGAAAAAATGGTTTATTAAAAGCCTCAGTAGCACAAATATCAATGGCCCTACTCTACAACCATCATTTTCTTCAAAAATATATCCTATCTAAATTTATCTGGGGATCTTTCCTTTGATCCCGTATTCCAACTCAACCCTCAGGTTTTCTGCGTAGTTTAAATCCTGAATGTTTGAGTTTACTCCCAAAGGCTACTGGATTATAAATTAAAATCTGATATCACAAAGAGTCATTAAACCCTTTAACATGATTCCCTTGCTGTTTGATAGAGAAATGGGCCCACAGCATTATAGGTCCTCCACTTTACTTGATTCTTTGTTTCGCATTAAACCCATCTGTTTTGCTATTGGCTGAAAATATTCCTCGTAGTCTCATTTTACAAAATCACAGGGTTCCAGTTAAAGTCCCAGTACCACCTCCATAAGTTCACATCAGTGACAAATGGAAGAACTTATTTTCTGGTATCACTTTGAGATGTCTTCTAATGGTTGCCATGGAGACCTAATGCCCTAAAAAAAATATCAGTATGAAAGTGCAGCTTTTACCTCCCTAACCACAGAGCTCTGTTCTGGTTGGATAAAAGATGTGGCTTCTGTGTCACGTATTTGTTGGACCTACCAACAGTTGTGCCATTTAAGATTTTCTTTTTTTTTTTTTTGCTCTTATTTCTGTAGAGAGATGCATCTGCTCCACCACCCTCTGGAATCAAAACTATTATTGCAACTAATTATTTCTTTGCATAACAGAAAAAATTGATAGAATATCTTCTGTGGTCTGATGGGTGGTCCACAATGTAACACAACCACCGTACTGAATGACTGAAAGAGACATTAGAACGTGGCTACGTGAACTCCTGCTATGCACAGCAGCCTTTCTAATGGTTCTTCTTTGTTATCTATGCTCAGCTGTCTGTTGCCAAAATAGGATTTTATTGATTAATTAGTTTGAGCTGAGGACTGAGAAAACAGTTATGATTTATTTAAAAGAAGATCTATTTAATCAGACTTCACTTTTTTTCTGTAAACATAATTGTTTCTGTTTGCTGAAGGTGGCGCTGTTGCTCAGTTTATTTCTGACTGTAAAACTACAGTATGTGTTTACAGTGGCTTTTTGCTTCTCTGCTGTGTGTGAACCGGGCATCTGCTAACTAAGCAGTGACTAATATCCCTGCTGAGAGTATCAGAGGTGGGTTAAATTTCTAGCTCAGAAGTTACTCCTTGAACTGTCCAAGCAGCATTATTTATGTCCATCATACCTCGGTTAACCGTGTTTGTAACCAGCAGCTCGCTTTCAGCTCACTCAGTCTTTTTGCTTTTACCTACATGAACCTGATCCCTCCCACCTAAACGCAGACATGGACATCTTTCGCCACGTTCATTGTGGCCAACTGAGCCGAGCGTGAAGGGATGCTGTATATTCTCTGCTGCTTCTACTTCAGCTACACTTAACAGCTCTTTGAAGTGTCTTATCCACTATTTTCACTCCATATATTTAAGAGAAAGAGGAGAAAACTGGGTTGTTTGGTGTGTTTTTTGGATTCCCTCCTTTCTTAATTTTAACGTGTATTTAGTCATGAATTTCATGAATGTTCACACTATTACCTTTTTTTTTTATGTATGCACCATAAAGTGAATACACCTGAAGGATGGGTAGAGAAAATAAAACACGTTTAAATGTTCAAAGTTGTTTCCATCATTACTGTTGCTGACTAAGCAAGTAATTTAGGATTTACACATAAATATTATTTATTAGTGAATAAAAGAAGAGACTATTTTTGCACAAGATTATTTTTGCAGTGCCGACTGCCCACAAATTAGATCCAGATTATTTCTAAGCGAAAAAACATCACAATTAAAATACAGGGAGCTGCAACCTATTGTTCAAAGAGTGATGTTTGCTCTCAGTTCAGCTCAACCAAACAACTTTAGAGCCACAATTTAATGAATTAACCTTTTGAATAATAAAAATCATAATCATAATGAATGTCCACTTCAATGTTTGAAAAGAAACATTTTTTTTTTCATCTTAATGTTTTACTATTGGAAAAAATAAGATGCAGGAATTAAACATGCAAAGTTTTTGAGCCTGATGACAAGAAAAACTATATAACTGATACTTTTGATATATCTCTTTTGTAGAAGTTAAAGAAAACTGCTGATATCTGCATTTAAAAATATATCTAGTTTGTTTTTTTTGTGTTCTTTTAGCCAATATCATAAAGACTCAGTAAGACTCTATACTTGATCCAAATAGCCTCCTGTGGCTCCTGATCCCTGCTATAAGGTATAAAGATGGGCTTCAGCTAACAGTGGTTTTTAGTGATGGCGTTGATATCTTATTCGGACAAGTAATTAAATAAAAAATGTTTATATTTTGAATGTCCCATGTCCTGTCAGGCAGTTAACAGACCTGTTTGTGAAGCATTACGGCTTTTACTATAGTGCTCCACATAACTAAAATAAACTAAATAAACACACTACAACCTAATTAAAAGTTATTTCAAATTCATTTGACACAGAGACGGAAGCGGAAAACAAAAAGAACAGAGAGAATACCTAGGTCCCTTTTCCTAAATGCTGGCTGAATGTGATTTGAGTAAAAGGCTGATTTCAGAACAGATTACATAATTCATTGTTAGGTGTGAGCGTGGTTATAAATGTAGCCATTATCTACCATTAGGCAAAACTAGCCAGTTTCATAGGGCCCCCCCAAGTTCCTGGGAGCCCCATAAAACTAATTTTACATGTATTGTTAATACAGTTTTTACTTATTTGTGCATACTAATTATGTTTTTGATATAAATCCTTTGTAAAAATTCCATCAGTACACTTATATTATTAGGTATGTCTCAGGGGGGCCTTATGTGTCCGCTACATTGGATCAGTCCATTTCCTGCGCATTGCAGGAAGGTCCAAACCAACAGCACCAAACCATTTGAAAACAAACGGCGTAAAGAGCCATGTCTCCAACTAAATGCTTTTTATAACCCTCTAGTGCTTTTATTTCAAAAAAGCACCTAGCGCCAAATCTAGCGACTTTTTTCTGCTACTGGAGACTTTGGCGACAACATAAAAGTATCGAACTCTGCTCTCCGAAGCAAGTAGATGCATAACCCCACCCCTGCTCTCCTCTCTCTTGTCTGCAGTGATGACTGATGCAGGCATGCTGTCTGCATGGTGCGCTGCAGCAGAGGGAAAGAACCTTTAAACTTCAAGATTGTAAATGAAATGCACAGGCTTAAAGCTGTTACTAATCTTGCTCAAGGTTACAAAATAATTTACAAAACCATTTTTATGAAAATTAGCTGATGCTTTATATAAATTTATCCCCCTTTCTGCTCCTCCTCTCTCTGCACCGCTTTCTTCTTCATGAGGTTTTTTTTATTGGTTGGCAAACAACTAACAGGGAATTGCTGACAGCAACTGGCACCTTATAGGACAGCCAATAGCAACTTTTCTTGCTGGGGAGTTGGCAACACTGGGAAAAAGAAATTTTGACAAAAAAGGGTTAGGTCTTTAAAAATATAAAAAAAAAACTTATAATTAAATTGAAATCGGTGAGCCTCATTAATGTAATCAAGTAGCAGGATTTATCCTTTGTTTCAGCTGGTCATGAGACAAGGAATTTATTTTTATTTCTCTACAGTGCTTAGTCACCAACTCTGTTCATAACTTTTATGGACAGAATTTCTAGGCGCAACCAAAGTGTTGGGGGGGATCTGTTTTGGTGGCCTTAGGATTGTATCTCTGTTATTCGTAGATGATGTGGTTCTATTGCCTTCATCAGGGCGTTATCTACAGCTCTCACTGGAGCGGCTCACAGCCGAATGTGAAGCGGCCGGGATGAGGATCAGTGCCTCCAAATCCGAGACCATGGTCTTAAACTGGAAAAGGGTAGAGTGCCTTCTCCGGGTCGGGGAGGATGTACTGCGCCTAGTGGAGAAGTTTAAGTATCTTGGGGTCTTGATAGCGAATGAGGGGAAGATGGAGCGCAGGGATCGATAGGCGGATTTGTGCGGTGTCTTCTGTGAAGCGTGCCCTGTACCGGTCTGTTGTGGTGAAGAGAGAGCTGAGCCAAAAAGCAAAGCTCTCGATTTACCGGTCGATCTACATTCCTAACCTCATATATGGTCATCTATGGAGCTTTGGGTCATGACCAAAAGAACGAGATCCCGGATACAAGCAACTGAAATTACTTTTCCCCTTAGTGTTTCTGGCCTCTCCCTTAGAGATAGGGTGAGGAGCTCAGAGTACAGCTGCTGCTCCTCCACATCGAGAAGAGCCAGTTGAGGTGGCTCGGGCATCTGGTTAGGATGCCTCCTGGACGTCTCCCTGGTGAGGTGTTTCAGGCACGTCCCACCGGGAAGAGGCCCAGTAGGAGGCCCAGGGGGAGACCCAGGTTTCTCTGCTGGCCTGGGAGCGCCTTGGGATTCCTCCAGAGGATCTGACCCAATTGGCTGGGGAGAGGGACACCTGACCCTCCCTATTGAAGCTGCTACCCCCACGACCCGACCCCGAATAAGAGGAAGAAGATGGATGGATGGATGGATGGAGTGCTTAGTTCTAAAAATTGATGTGAGTCACATGCTTTGAGGCATGATGTTGGCATCGGAATTGGCTGTTATTTATCTTTTTTTAATACATTAATGTTTTTTATTCCTTTATAAATAACGTAATAAAAGTCTTCTCTCTAACTACCTATTAATAGTGCTGTATTGAGGTACTCTGGTGTTCTCAACAATAGAAAAAATGCTTAGAGACAAAGTCATATAAATCTTTAAACTTCAAGATCAAAACATGCGACAATATTGGCTTCCAGTCTTAATTTTCAAAGTTTTTCATCTGAGAAAAAAATACAAGAAACGCCTTAAATTATGTTTTCAGTTAGGAGCACTTCATCATTGAATTGCTGTTGCCAAATCAATGAATGTGGTGTCGAGTCTGGGGACTCTTGAAGGAGTCTTCAGACCTGCAACAAGCTTGATTGCTTAAACCTGGCTTGATGTAGCCGTACCTGTGGAGGCAGGCTTGGCCTTACTGGAATGGATGATTGGGTTAGGTTAACCCTGACTTTATCTCTTATTTTGGATTTCTTCATTCGTTTTTTGTGAAGTAGGCCTTCAAAGACACTGCATGGAGTATTTTGGTAATAAGAAGCATTTTTATGACCCACCAGGTAATTTAAACCTCCTAATTGATTTGCACATTGTGCAAAGAATCTCTTCTAAATAATGAAAGATTTCAGCTAATTTCACAGCTACTTGGGCCTTTCTTCCACATATACTTTTTTGTATATTTGATCAAAGAAATACTGTGCAGGCAAAAAGCAGCGCTTTAAAATTCCCACTTTATATTACAGCTTATTTCAATATAGGTTCATCTTTATTTTTCAGTTAATCACACTATACCTCATTATAGCAAAACAATTTACAGAGGATGTGGTTCCATGATTGTTCCAAGCAAAGAACATGTTTTGTAGACTTAAAATATACAATCCACAAATGAAAATACTTTGTTGTGAACAGTGAGATGCATTTCTTTAGGTTTGCATGGACGTTAGCAATACCATTGTGTTGGTCACTGTGTGAATTAAGAATGAGTGTTTGTATTGGGCTTTAAGTAAAATGTGATCTGAGAAGCGCAATTAAAAAGGAATGCAATATGTAAAATTCAATATGAAAAACAGAAATAAAAAAGAAATCACAATATAAAACTATATAATTTATATATATTTAAATAAGTTAAAACAAAAAATAGAAAAAAAATTAATTTGAAAAGAAAATTTAATATATGAAATTGTATTTAGGAAAAAAAAACATCTCAGAGAATAGAAAAGTTAAATGTTTTTTTTTTCAATTATTACTTTTTTGGTTCCAATTACATTTGTTTCAAATTTAAACATTGAAAAGGGATCATTTTTAATTTACAAAATGTTTTCTTTGCTTGCTATTATAATGATGAAATAAAAATCACTCCATAAAAGAAGGACTTTTGACATTTCTGCAAAAGAGAAATAAAAAACATACTTTGGTATGATCTGATTTTCAGGTAGACCATGTTCTTCTATTAACCTAGGGAAATCTTGAAACTCATCCATCCATCCATCCGTCCGTCCATCCATCCATCATTTCTTCTTGAAGGGGGTGAAGCAACATTGTGGAACTAACACCTGACTTGAAGTTATGTTCAATAAGTTCAAACATGCTTAAACAATTTATACACTGGAGCATTAAACGCAGACTCTGCCTGGAGGCATGGATGTGTAACATAATTATAGCTTTTGTTGCCTGAACTTTTTTTTTTCATGCATGCCTCGGCAGCAGGCCCTGCTATAGTGTTTGTGTGTATATGTGCCTGTGTTTCCCCTTTTAGATCCAGGTCTAATTGTGCGTCAACTTTACTGCGCTACAGAAACCAAACAAATAAACTGGTAATAACATTTAAATATCATTAATTTTATTTGCATACATACCATTTTTTTGGGGGTAATTTCATTAAGCAACATTTCAGTCTGACTGGAAACATAAGTGGTCTGTTTAGAAGAAAAAAAAGCAAGTAATGCACATTCTTCTGCGCGCGCACGCACACGTGCAAGCGCATGTTTTAACAAGGCTTGCTGTCTGTATAAAAGGGAGCCAATGCGACAAGAATCTCTGGGGGTCAGACGGCAAGAATGACAAGTAAACAGAAATATGCCATCCGAACAGGTGGTGCCGTTTGCGCTATTTTACGCACGGCCACAAGTCGGAATTGTCCAAAGCAGCCACTCGGCGCACCTGAGATCATCATTTTCTTCTTCATCTCAGTGATGTTGTCTTTCACTGTCCAGCCAGCATCAGCTCATCCTCAGTGTCTAGACTTTGCCCCGCCATTCAAACCGCAGTGGCACCTGGAGTTCTGCTCCCAGTATGAGGACTTCGGCTGCTGTGACCAGAGGACGGACAACGTGATTGCGGAGAGATATTGGGACATAATCGAGCTGCTGGAGGCGGCGGGTTATGACTTGTGTGAGGACATGCTGAAGGAAATCATGTGTCAGGTAGGCTTCCCATCTGTGGAAGCAAATCGTTACCATATTTCAAAAGCATTTCTGGAAATGCTTTTTCATTTTCAAACTTTACATTTCAAACTGTATTTTGGTATGCATTTGCTGGGGCACATTTTGAAAAATAAATGTCAAATGTCTTTTTCATTTTAATTAAGTAAAAGGATGAGCAGTGTTAAAGAAGAAAATGAAAATGCAAACAGGAAGATTGATTACTAATTTGATTTATAAGTCAAACGATGCAGCCACATTCCTAAAATGAAAAGTATTTCTGGAAATGCTTTTTCATTTGAAATATGGTAACGATTTGCTTCTATACCCATCAACTTGTTCTCTTAAACCTTGTTATGAAACAGGTATGGATATATAATGAGGTTGTATACTTGGTAAGCCACAATAAACCACAAAATAAATGCAAACTACACATTAAAATCCCACAGATTTGGACAGGAGGTTCTAAACCTCAATCATTGCATTGAATTCAATTTAATTTAAGGGTTATAATTATACATTTAAGCTATTCTTTCTCATGCTGGGGTATTATACTACACGATTGTTAAAAAGTATAAACGATTGTACATGTTTTTCTGCTGCCAACATGAGACACACACAGGCTCAGACATATGCATACACATAAATAAATTCTAATGAGCTAGTTCCACAGATAGCACAGGATTTTTGTAGGCACCCATTAAGTCCTGGCAGAGTTTGTTTAGAATATATGAACATCCTGCTTCATATAAGAGATAAACTCCTTTAAATTGTCTGGCTTTAAAACCCAGATTAAACACTCCACACATTTTTAAAAAGGGTTTATGTTCCAGGTTTTAATGTCACCCTCAATCAAAAAGAATTTTGTACATTGTGTGTGGTTGACCTCCAAATATGTTTAAGTTTCAACCTTCTGTGACATTTAGATTAAAGGCAGACTGATGACATATTCATTTACAGCTGGAATTACCTTCAATGGATGAGAAGGTTCTGACAAGGACATTTTTGCTTGAACCTGGACAAAAATAATGGTGTCCCTGGAAAAGACAAAAAAAATAGTAATGTGACCAAAGGGACATTTCAAATCAGGGTGTCCACTTGCTTCACTGGTGTCTGCAATCTTGTGGCAAATAATATGAAACAAATAATATGAATGTTAACAACAGAGCCAAGAACAACTTCTTAATAGATTAAAAGGTGAACTTCAAGCTCAAGGAACATTAGTGTCAGGTCACTCCATCCATCTTTATTTGACTTAAAGGGAGATGACAGAGGAGGACACCACTGTCCTGACTGGAATTTGCCAAACTACATGTTGACAAGCCACAAAGCTTCTGGTAGAAGGTCCTATTGAGAAATTAGACAAAATGGAACTCGATGCCAAGACACATCATCTATATGTTCACAGATGGAAAAATAAAGCATATCATGTAAAGAAAACTGTCCCTACCGTGAAACATGGAGGAGGCTCTGTGATGTTCTGGTGCTGCTTTGCTTTATCTGGCACAGGGTGTCAGTCTTAAGACTATCAAGGGATTCTAGAGAGAAATGTGCTGCCAAGTGTCAGAAAGCTTGGTCTCAGTTGCAGGTCAACATAATAATGACCCCAAAACACACAGCAGAAAACACCCAAGACTTGACTTATGACTTTTTCAGATTCAAGTTATAAATAGTTTTTTTATAAATCTTATTAAATCGAGGGTACCAAAAATGAAGTCCATGTCTGTAATTACAGCTCTAAAAGAAGAGATCGTTTATGCTGATATCTAGTGTATGTAAAGTCCTGAGAAGAACTGTCATTCCTTTAAATTTTGGAGATATTTATCTTTTATCTATTTGCGCCCAACCATGAATCAGAGATTAAATAATTTGTGCTATTTCAGTTGTTCTTATCTCACCAGTTTCCTATTGACCCTCCAGGAGTGCTCCCCTTATGCTGCCCACCTTTATGATGCAGAAGACCCTTACACACCTGTTCGAGACTTGCCTGGACTGTGCTTTGGATATTGCTCTGAATTTCACAGCAAGTGCCGTCATGTGCTCAAGTATCTAACTGAGAACCAGCTCCTACTGGACACCTCTGGGCGGGACATGACCACGTTCTGCAGCCTTATAGATCTATCTGACCAGGACTACTGCTACCCCAACGTTCTAAAGAGCACTGACCTCAACAGCAATCTGGGACAAGTGGTGGAGGACCCCAGAGGGTGTCTCCAGGTATGCTTGACTGAGGTGGCCAATAATCTCAGGAACCCAGTGTTGATGCTGCACAGCGATGACGAAACACACAGGATGTTCATAGCAGAGCAGATCGGCTTTGTTTGGGTGTATCTGAGCGATGGCAGCCGACTGGAACGGCCCTTTCTGGATATGAGCGGGGAAGTGCTGACAACTCCTTGGCTGGGGGATGAGAGGGGGTTTCTAGGCATGGCCTTCCACCCAAAGTATAAACACAATGGACGCTTCTTCATCTACTACTCTATTCAGTTCAGCAGCAAGGTGGAAAAAATCCGAATCAGCGAGATGAAGGTGTCGAGCAGCGACATGAACATGGCTGATCCTTACTCAGAGAGGTAAGCCAATGGGAATGCTTGGCTTCTAATTTGCATTTAACAGTATGTTGCTGTCATTGTGTTTTAGCACAATGCACTGTTGTAAAAACTACAGGTTTCAATACCTCAACCTGCTTGCTCAGACATGTCTCACAGTTTACTCATTATATTTCTCTACGCTTGAAGCCCTATTAAAAAACGCCTGCAAATAAAAACTACACAGGTGTTATCAATGAGTTACACTGCTGCACATAAAAACAGAGGAGGTAATGTTTTTTTTCCCATTTTCTATAGATGTTTGTCCTTCATGGTCATGAACACATTTAGAACCTAAAAACAATTTACAGACACCATTGAAAGAGACTGTTGGGGGAATTTGAAGTACTTGGAGTGAACTGGTGGTGATGAGATGAAGCGCTGAGGCTGGACACATGACTCAGGGCATCAAGAAGCTTCCATTGTGCAGTGCCCAGGGAGCAGTTTGGGGTTAAGGGTCTTGCTCAGGGACTCAGAGTGCAGGCTATTGGGATCGAACTGGGTATTTGAAACCTTCTCAGACCACAAGCACACTGCGTTAACCACCAGGCCAACACTCCCCTATAAAGTATTTTATAAATAAAACCCCAAAATCTTTGGCATCTTTGCAGAGGTAGTACCATGCTTTGGAGCAAAACATTCATACATTCAAAACGGAAGAAGCTGAATATAAATATGTATATTCTCAAGAGTGTGTGTCCCGGACCAGCCCCGGAGCTCACAGCTCGGTTCAGATGCCTGGTCCAGTCCAGTCAGTAGCCCAGCAGCCGCCGTGTGTGATGGCCTTACGGTTAGAACAGCACCTCGTTTCAGTAAAATAAGTTTAGCAAATCCTGCTTTGAAATGTCCAAAATTTTGAAAGGTGGCTTCGGTAAAATGCTTTGAGCAACTGAACAGCTGAGCATCAAACTTTGCAGGCATCTTCTGATACGCAAAAATAATCCATGCCTGTTGAGTTTTTGGATCCTTGGGAAGACAGTGAAAAATGTCCCCTTCATCCTTGCAGTCTGGAACACTGCATCTACGCCTGTGTTTCTGGCTCATTTTCAATAGAGAAACTGCCTGTAAACCCAACTGTAGGCTAAAAAGCTAAACCGGTGTCTTAAATCTACCTCTATTCATGTTTTTGGCCCAGTGAACCAGTGTGCTGGTCTGTATGTCAAATTTAGGGCGTGCCAGAACCAAATAAGGCAACATCCCCAAATTGACGTCAATTCGGGGCTTTGTTTGGATTCGTCCATTTTATGGTGAATGATTAGAATTGTGAGATTTGCAGAGAAAGGAGGGGTCGATTGAATTTGAACTTCTCTGTACATCCATTTTACCCACTGAACTATCGTTATTCATCTAGTGCAATGTAAACCCGGTTTTGCATTATATGACCCCTTTAAAGCCAAAGGAAAAAAAAGAAAACATTAAGCACTGAGGGACCAAGGAACAGGACCACCAATGTTTAAACAGTTTTAAATTGATATTAAATTACTTCTCCCTTTAACCCTTCTCGACCATTTCAGTAATTAAGAGTTAAAGTTTATGCACTAATAAGACCTCTCCTGGTAAAAGGCGAGTGGCTTAGCTGTTATCCAGTTGGTCTGATAATGACAGTCATTGTTTTGGACATTCATATGAAAAAATGTTACATTTTAAGTTCCTTTTATTTAGAGTTTTGTTTCGTTTTGTGGACAGAATATATTTAAGTTAATTTAAAAACTGTCATGATTTTATTCAAAGATCTGACCCACATGCAGAAAACCAAACAGAGAGACCAGGGGAAGGTTAACAGGTTTATTGAGAACTGGTAGAGATGGGTCCAGTGCTGCTCTGAACACTGGCAAACCGGGACTGAAAAGGGAAGGGAAAGTTCCTGTGGTTAGTTCAGGCTCAGTGGGAAATTTGAGCTTCGATTTGCAAAAGGGA